CAAGATGGGGGTATTGTATGGTGACATGCAAAGTTCTAATAACCCGTCACGTATTAAACTCTCTATCACCAGTGAAAGGCCTCTTTTTCCTTCCAGGGGAATGGGGTATTGGCAAACACAAATCATAATTTCTGTATACAATTCTACTGTAAAAGGTTCTATTTTCAATCTTCCCCTGTTTCCGTCTTTGGCCCATACTTCAGGATTTATACCCAAATTCTCACTTAGGATGAAAAGTTTAACTTCCACCCCCTCCCCTTGAGGTACCACCCCTACTCCCAAGATTCCCATTAGATCTCTACCTAATAGATTCACCCCTGCCTGGGGCGTAATCAGTAAATCTGCTTCAATCGCCTTCCCATTTCCTTTTATTAATACTGATGGGGCTATAGGTACCTCAAAGTGTTCTCCTTTGGCTCCCTGTACTGTGACTGTTTGGTTTGATACTCTTATTCCCGATGGAGGTTGAGTTACACATGTCCTCTGAGCCCCTGAATCCACTAAAAAGATGGTATTGTCCTCCTGGGATCCCAGTTTTAAATTTATCAAGGGCTCTTTTCCTGTTTCTGACCCCAGGCAGAAGAGCCCCTGACATCCCTATTCTGAGCTCTCCTGTAACTGGAAGACTTGGATGTCATTTTGGTGCCTAGGACAATCCCTTTTAAAATGTCCTTCCTGTCCACAGTAAAAACAAGCTCTTCCCTTTCTTTGTAAATTGGGAGGGGCAGTTTGCATCCCCGGTCTTGTTAGCGATCGGGAAGGTCCTGCAGGGTATTGAGTTCCCTGACCTTTATATTTATTGGGACCATTTCCATATTTCCCATGTGGTACCCATGCCCTTTTCTTCCCTGGGGCTCATTCCCCCCCTTGCTTATTCACTTCTTGAACCGTAGCTATCATTACCTGGATCTTCTGCTTTTCCTGTTCTTCGTCCCTCCGAACGTACTCTTTCTGAGCTTCCTTCAATAGCTCATTCATGTCTTTCTCATTCCAGTCCTCCAACTTTTCTAATTTCCGTCTAATATCTGACCACGAATGAGTCACAAAAAAGGCTTTCAACAATTGCTGTCCTGCTGGACTGTCCAACTGGACCCCCGAATACTGCTGTATGTTCTTCTTTAATCTTTCTGACCATTCAGATGGTGACTCATCTTTGGTTTGCTTTTCATCAAAAGCCTTAGCAGTATTGTGTCCTCGAGGGGTTGCCTCTTTAATTCCTTTAATGCAATTTCTGTAATCTATCATATTCTGTCTTCCCCTGTCTGTATTCTGGTCCCAGTTTGGACGTGCAATCGGCATTTTTTGTTCTCCCCCCCTGACCATTTATCCCTTGGGGATGTTCCTGGTCCCAAACCCTGAAAACAACATTCCCATTATAGACTGCATCTCATCCCATATGTACATATTTGGGCCTAAAAATTGATCAAATTGTTCAGCTAAGCCCAGTGGATTCTCCAATGACTTTTTCATTTCTTTCCGAAATTCCTGTACTTCAGAGTTGGTTAGTGGGGCATTTACAAATCCCACATCCCCTTGCATTCCCTGCATTGGAACCTCTCTAAGGGGATAGAGTCTTTCAGGTGCTTCAGGTGCTTCTGACTCCCATTCTCTCCTAGCCCTTTCCCGTGTCCGGGGAGGGTTTGGAGGAGGGACTGTATCTGGGTTTTGTGCCCCATTTCCTTCATTCCCCTCAGGATTATAGGGAGGAGGATTTTCTGGAAGGTTTTCTAAAGGGTCCCATATTGGGCCCTTCTTTTTCTTCTGATGTTTATTAGCTCCGTTTGCTATAGAGACTGGGAACAAACCTATGGTCCCCACCCAGCATGCAGCATAATCGCTCTCTTTTGCATTAAAAGGCTCTTTTGTATTGACATAGCAATTTAATGCTCCGCAAATCCAACCTTCAAAATGAGCCAAATTGAGGCCAATAGAGATAGTCTTCCCTTATAGGTCCTTTTGTCTATTTGTACATGCAATATTGGATCATTGTGGCTTTATCCTTTCCCCGCATCCTTTTTGTCTCTCCCCAGGAATCTAGCATCCTTCCCAATGGGCTGCCTTGAGTCATTTGAAGTGACCTTTCTGATACCTTTTTCCCTTTCTTTTCTGCAACCCTTTTGCTGGATTTACCCCCCATTCCCCCATTTCAATAGTGATAGCATGTGTTTTGTGTAGGGTCTTCTTTTTTTTTTTTTTTTTACCTCACACTGGGACCTGCAGCTCGGTGGAGGAGCTGTGCAGGCGCACCCCCCCTCTCTCGCCCGGGGGCCGGTGCTAGGAGGCACGCCCCTCCTTTCTCATCTGGGGGCCGGTGCTGTGAAGAGTACCCTCCCTCTCTTGCCCGGGGGCCGATGCTAGGAGGCACCCCTCTCTGGCGGGACCCTGGGGCCACCCGTTGCCCCCCCGCCTCTCCAGCAGAACTCCAGGACCACGCGGTGCGGTTCCCAGTCCTCCTCTCACCACTCCGCTTTTCCTCCTGGCAGCCGAGCAATGCAGCTGCTTCCCTAGAGAGAAAGAGACAGAGAGAAAAAGAGAGAAAGAGAGAGACTCCAACTCCCCCCTCAGATACGTTTCCCTCATAAACATGCTCACTCTCTTACTTAAAATAGACCATTTTGGAGTCTTACGGGGATCTGTGTATGTAGCTTAACGTTGTTGCAGCCTTAATTTAAAGTTATGACCGGTTCTTCTGTTGTTTCTCTTTGTTCCACGTCTGTCCCTTGTTCTTTGCCGCAACGGACCTGAAAACAGGCACCAAGTCCCCGAACTGCCAAAAATAGGCAGACGCACCTTTCAAGGACCATAGTACCTCCTCCCGGGGCCAACGGGCTTAGAATTCCTGGGTTTCGGCACCAAAACTGTGGGAAATATCCCTCTTTTTAAATTTAGAATGACAGCATAAACTCAGGGAACAAAGAAATAAGAAAGAATTTATTCAACGCGTTGGGTCTTTCTCGCACTGAGTTTCTGGGGGAAAGACCCCTTTGGTTTAAATTCCATACATTTTAAAGTTTCACAAAATCCCCACCCTTTTCAGATAATTGTAATATATTCATTTTTGCCTAAAAAGGTTTCTTTTCTCTGAAAAGGGGCTTTCCCTTTATCCCAATTGGCTGCAAGCCATCCCCTGTCAAAGATGATGGATCTTCCTTTGTTCTTATCCCAAAGAGAAAAGGAACCTCGTTTACAACATGGCCTCAAAACTTTTTAATTTTTAAGAATTTTCACATTTCCCTTATCTGGCTGAAAAAGACCCTGATACTCAAGTTCAGTCTTTGGAACTTGGATATCTTACAACTTCACCATATGCCTATATATATACAAAACCATATTTTTATTTCTCATACCTGTGCTACTAGAGCACAGGCTGCCTTGTGGGGTGTACCCCCTCTCCCTAGCTGGGGAACGCCTGCTCCTAATAGCAGGGACTCTGGTTTGCACCAACGAGACATGGGAGATGTTCTCCTGAAACTCCTCTCTGAGTTTTTGGTGGCCATCTCTAACTGCCTCTGTTAGAGTCCGGAGGGCTGCAGCCAGTTTCTCTATGGAAGAGATGTGGGTGAGGACATGTTGTGACCCATCCCAGAAAGGGGAGGTGTCATAGGTTTACTTGTTCTAAAAAACCAAGCAGGGAATTTTTCTCTCCCCTGCGTCCCTGTAAAATTCCTGTAAAAGAAAAATGTTGAATGAGGGACGGAGAAGGGGTTTGCCTAGGGTAATTGACGCACACAAAAGAACTAACTAGCAGGCCCGCATTCCAAGCTGATGGTCCTCCTAAAACTGTGGGGAGCGATGATGAGTTTTCTTTATTTCTCTCCTTGGAAACGGGGGCACTTGACTTTTGCCTTAACTCAGGCAAGGTGCATGTTGGAAAGGCTCTGAGGTCGTTTTGTTCTCAGCCTGGTCATCTGTCTGTTTTCTGGCCTCGACTTGCCTCCGTTTTCCTGCACCCTGTTCTGCCCCCAGCCCGGACCTGCTCAGACTTCATTGGGGAGGCTTGACCAACCTGCAGAGGAACTTTTTGGGGAGGAGGTCGCCCTCTCCCTCCTCCGCTCCCGTGTTTGGCAGCGGTTTGTGCCCATCAATGAAGGGGGGGAAATCCCGGACACAGCCAGCGGCAGACAGCATGAGTTTCGTGGGAAGACCTCGCCTTCTTTCCCCTTTTCCCCTTCCCCTTCTCGGGGGGGGGGGTGGGAATCTTCATTGTCAGTTTCTCCTGCACACAGGAACCCCACGTGATGACTGCCAGAGCCCAACAGCGCCCCCTGCTGACTACCACCAAGCAACTGCAGGCTCTGCACCTCCAGTGATCCAACAGTACCCCCTGCCGATCGTAGTTAGTATTGCACCAAAGGACAAGAAGTATTGAACTGTTTCCTTTTTTGAAGGGGACTTTATTCATCCACACGTCTCTTACCCCCTTTGCTCAATTCCTTGCTCATCGGGATACATTGCTCTTGAACCTGGAGGAAGTGATTCTTGAATATCAACCACCTCTCTTGGACCCGTTTTCCATGCAGGTCCTGTTCCCATGGGATTCTTCCAAGAAGATCTCTGAACAGGTTAAATTTAGCTCTCCTGAAGTCCATGGTTGCAATCTTACCTGCTGCCCTGCTTCCTCCTCAACCAGTACTGAACTTCACAATGTCATGGTCACTGCAGCAAAGGCTGTCCCCAACCTTCACATCTCCAACAAGGCCTTCCCTGTGATGCCTTAAAACATCATGAAGAAAAAACTCCAGGCCAATTTAGTATATAAGATAAGATAAGAAGAGCAAGTCCTTTAATTAGGCCCTCCGGCCCAGGGGAATACACAGAATGCGCGCGCGCAGCCAGGCAGTGGTTCTACAATTTTATAGTGTGGTACATCCAATGCCAGAACTGTCTGCCCCCCAGTTCCTCCCAGTTCTGCCCCCCGGATCGCCTCTTTGGGAGTTGAGTCTGGGGTTGTTGGGATCCCTTCTTCCTAATCTTCATCTTCTTCATCTTCTTCACAACACGTACAGTCCTTGGATCTCATCCAAAGTTCTGGAGTTGAAGGTTGCTATGTCTATCCGTTGTATCTTCTTGTCTGGGTCTAGGGTGCAATGTTCTTAAACAGAGGTGCTTTCTACAATTCTACCTTGAAAAGAAGTCTAAACACGCTAAAAAGGAATTTAGAAGGTTGGATATGAAATGAGGTAATAGGGTTGGGTAAACGTGCAAATTACTGTGCTAAAGGGTGGCATATCATACAGTTACATTAAAATCTGCATTTACTACACAGCTACTTCTAAAATCTACAAAAAGCTAAAAAATCCAAAAAGTTCAAAGGTATCACGTTTGTTAGTATGAGATCAAGCAGCACACCATTCTTTGTGGAGTCCTCCCCTACCTGTCACAGGAAGTTGTTATCAATTCTTTCCAGGAACATCCTGTAGTATTTGTGCTTTGCTGTGTTGATTCTCCAGCAGATGTCAGGGTAGTTCAAGTCCCCTACAAGAACCAGAGATTGTGACTGTGAGGCTACTTCAAGCTGCCTGTAGAAGGCCTCATTTACTTCCTCCTCCTGTTTGAGTGGTGTCTCAGTTTAATGAGACTGAAGTATTTTGCTAAGGAGGATGAGTTATGAGGAAGACCAAACACCTCCCTCTAAGCAATTGTAAATTCGAAATTAAGAAGCTCCAATTGAGGAAGTATGGAAAAAGGAAAAACGACAGCCCTTTATTAAAGGATATATGTGTATTGGCAGAACAACAAAAGAATACAAAAGCAACTAAACAATAATCCTCTACACCAAAAAAAAAGTCACCTTCTAAAAAGGAAACAGTTCAATATTTCCCCTTCTTTAGCGCAATTCTAACTACGATCGGCAGGGGGCGCTGTTGGATCACTGGAGGTGCAGAGCCTGCAGTTGCTTGGTGGTAGTCAGCAGGGGGCGCTGTTGGGCTCTGGCAGTCATCACGTGGGGTTCCTGCGTGCAGGAGAAACTGACAATGAAGATTCCCACCCCCCCCCCCGAGAAGGGGAAGGGGAAAAGGGGAAAGAAGGCGAGGTCTTCCCACGAAACTCATGCTGTCTGCCGCTGGCTGTGTCCGGGATTTCCCCCCCTTCATTGATGGGCACAAACCGCTGCCAAACACGGGAGCGGAGGAGGGAGAGGGCGACCTCCTCCCCAAAAAGTTCCTCTGCAGGTGGGTCAAGCCTCCCCAATGAAGTCTGAGCAGGTCCGGGCTGGGGGCAGAACAGGGTGCAGGAAAACGGAGGCAAGTCGAGGCCAGAAAACAGACAGATGACCAGGCTGAGAACAAAACGACCTCAGAGCCTTTCCAACATGCACCTTGCCTGAGTTAAGGCAAAAGTCAAGTGCCCCCGTTTCCAAGGAGAGAAATAAAAAAAATTCATCATCGCTCCCCACAGTTTTAGGAGGACCATCAGCTTGGAATGCGGGCCTGCTAGTTAGTTCTTTTGTGTGCATCAATTACCCTAGGCAAACCCCTTCTCCATCCCTCATTCAACATCTTTCTTTTACAGGGACGCAGGGGAGAGAAAAATTCCCTGCTTGGTTTTTTAGAACAAGTAAACCTACAACACCTGGTGACAGAGGACACAGAGAAGGCAGAGTCTTTGCATTGGTCTTCACTGACAAGACCAGCCCTCAGGAATCTCTGATCCAAGAGACCAGGGCAAAGGAATGTTGGAAGGAAGACTTTCCCTTGGTCAAGGAGGATAGGGTCAGAGAACATCTGGGCAGACTTGACATCCACAAGTCCATGGGCCCTGATGGGATGGATCCATGAGTGCTGAGAGACCCAGTGGACACCATAATGAGACCACTCGCAATCATCTTTGAAAGGTTGTGGTGATAAGGAGAGGTACCTGAGGACTGGAAGAAAGCAAATGTCACCATGGTCTTCAAAAAGGGCAGGAAGGAGGACCCAGGAAACTACCAACCAGTCAGCTTCACCTCAATCCCTGGAAAGGTAATGGAGTGCCTCATTCTGGAGTCCATGTCTTTCCACATGAATGACAAGAAGATGATCAGGAGTAGTTCAGCATGGATTCACTAAAGGTAAATCATGCTTGACCAACCTGATTGCCTTCTATGATGAAACAGCTATCTGGATGGATGAAGAGAGATTAGCGGATATTGTCTACCTTGACTTCAGCAAGGCTTTCGACACTGTCTCTCACAACATCCTCATAGGCAAACTCAGGAAGTGTGAACTGGATGAGTGGACGGTGAGGTGGATTGAGAACTGGCTGAATGGCAGATCCCAGAGGGTCATAATCAGTGGCACAGAATCTAGTTGGGGGCTTATCACTAATAGCGTCCCCCAAGGTTCTATACTGGACCCGGTATTATTTAACTTGTTGTGATAGTTTTCACTCTAGGCCTTCCTGCAGACCAGCTTGTAACCAGGAAGGAACTAGGAAGGTGACCACAGAAGTATTCCATGCTATTCCTTTACGTAACTTGAGGTATAAATAAAGCCAACGGGAGGGACCTCTCTTCTCTTCCTTTCCGGCGAGGTTCGAGAACGGTGGGTCCCTGTCTCGGTCTTGCTTATCTGGAACTGAGGCCTACAGTGACTGCTGTTATCTGCCACGCGTGAGGGGAGAGTGTTGGGCCGCGTCCAACCGTCCAGCTTCTCTCAAGGGAAGTGGTGAGATTTTGTCAGTTCTTTAGTTTGCTGGTTACTGGGTTTTTAGATCGTGTAGACCTGTTTTGTTTTTGTCCCTTTTCATCCTATTTTGTCCTTTTTCCCTTCTCCCTTCCCCTCTTCCCTTTAGGAAGCTATTTGGGGTTTCTGGGGTTATAGGTATATAATATTCTCACTGTATATATCTGTTTCATATGTAAAATATATATTTTTGCTATAGCTTTGGCTACTTGGTTTTTTTCTTCCCTCTCTGGGAAGTAGACCCTGTTGTCAAGTTTCGGAGTCTTGGCGGGAAGCCAGCTCAAAACTTGCACACTTGTTCATCAATGGCTTGGATGAAGGGGTAGATGTCTCTTCAGCAAGTTTGCTGATGACACAAAGCTGGGAGGAGTGGCCGATACCCCAGAGAGCTGTGCAGCCCTTTAGAAGGACCTCGACAGGTTGGAGATATGGACAGAGAAGAACTGTTTGAAATTCAATAAGGGAAAAGGCAGGGTCCTGTACCTGGGAAGGAATAACCCCAGGCATTGGGACAGGCTGGGGGCCGACCTGCTGGAAATCAGCTCTGCGGAGAAGGACCTGGGGGTCCTGATAGACAGCAAGCTGTCCATGAGCCAGCAGTGGGTCCTTGTGGCCAAGAAGGCCAATGGTATCCTGGTGTGCACATAAGGAAGAGCATTACCAGCAGGTCAAGGGAGGTGATCCTGCCCCTCTACTCAGCCTTCGTGAGGCTGCATCTGGAGCACTGTGTCCAGTTCTGGACTCCTCAGTACGAGTGAGACATGGAGCTCATGGAGCGCTTCCAGTGGAGGGTGACAAAGATGATTAAGGGACTGTCTCTTATGAAGAAAGGCTGAGGGAACTGGGACTGTTCAGTCTTGAGAAGAGATGACTGAGAGGGGACCTTATCAATGTCTATAAGTATCTGAAGGGAAGGTGTCAGAGGATGGAGCCAGGCTCTGTTTGGTGGTGCCAAGCAATAGGACAAGAGGGAATGGGCTCCATCCTCGACCCAGTTCTCTTTAACATCTTCATAAATGACCTGGATACAGGACTCCCAGGAATACTAAGTAAGTTTGATGGCAACACTCAAATGGGAGGAGCTGTCCACTCCCTTGGGGGCAGGGAGGCCCTGCAGAGAGATCTCGACAAATTAGAGAGATGGGCAATCACCAACCATATGAAGTTTAACAAGGGCAAGTGCTGAATTCTGCACCTGGGATGGGGCAACCCTGGATGTGTGTTTAGATTAGGGAACGAGAAGCTGGAGAACAGCATCACAAAAAGGGACTTGGGGGTGCTGGTCGACAGCAAGTTGAATATGAGTCAGCAGTGTGCCCTGACATCCAGGAGGGCCAACTGTGTTCTGGGGTGCATCAGGCAAAGTATCACCAGCCAGTTGAGGGACGTGATTGTCCCTCTCCGGTCTGCACTGGTGTGGGCTCACCTTGAGTACTGTGTGCAGTTTTGGGTGCCACAATATAAAAAACACATTAAGTTATTAGAGAGCTTCCAAAGGAGGGCCATGAGGATGGTGAAGGGTCTGGAGGGGAAACCTTATGAGGAGCAGCTGAGGTCACTTGGTCTGTTCATACTGGAGAAGAGGAGACTGAGGGGAGGCCTCATTGCGGTCTTCAACATCCTTACAAGGGGAAGCAGAGGGGCAAGTACTGATCTCTTCTCTCTGGTGACCAGTGACAGGACTCGAGGAAATGGCGTGAAGCTAAGGCAGGGGAGATTTAGGTTGGATATCAGGAAAAGGTTTTTCACCCAAAGGGTGGTTGAGCACTGGAACAGGCTCCCCAGGGAAGTGATCGCAGCACCAAGCCTGTCTGAGTTCAAGAAGCATTTGGACAACGCTCTCAGGCTCGTGGCATGACTCTTGTGGTGTCCTGTGCAGGGCTAAGAGTTGTACTTGATGATCCCAATGCCTATGGATTTTTTGGATTTTAAGCTTTTTGTAGATTTTTAGAAGTAGCTGTAGCTAGCTCACCCTTTAGCATAGCAGTTTACACATTTACCCAACCCTATTACCCCATTTCATATCTAACTTTCTAAGTTCCTTTAGCTTATTTAGACTTCCCTCAATGTAGGCCTTCTTTCTGTTTAAGAACATCGCACCCCAGGCCTCTACAAGATACCACAACGGACAAAACATCCTTCAAAACCCAGAATTTTGGAGGAGCTCCAAGGACTGAATGTGCTGTGATAAAGAGGAAGATGAGGAAGAGGGGGTCTCAGAGCCCCTAACTCAATTTCCAGAGGGGGGTGCCAGGGGGGTAGAACTGGGAGGATCTGGGGGGCAAATAGATCTGGGATTGGTTGGGATAATACCTTACATTGTGGAACCCCCTGGACATGGAGTGCACATCTGTATTCCCATGGTGGTTGAAGGCATTCTATTTAAACTACTCTCTTATCTCTACTAATAATTGCCTGGTGAGTAATTTTTTGGCTCCCGATTGATTCTTTCAGGCAGCAATCCTGATGGGTCCCTTCCAACTCAGCATATTCTATGATTCTATGATGCACAGGAAGTTCCACCTGAACATGAAGAACTTCTTTCCTGTGCGGGTGACCATGCCCTGGAACAGATTGCCCAAAGAGGGTGTGGAGTCTCCCTCACTGGAGATATTCAAGAACCATCTGGATGCAATCCTGTGCCATGTGCTCTAGGATGACCCTGATTGAGCAGGGAGGTTGGACTAGATAACCCACTGTGGTCCCTTTCAACCTGAACCATTCTGTGATTCTGTGATTTACTAGTCTTCTCTCAGGTCTCAAATCAGTATGCAAAACCCTTAAGCATGTACTTTACATGTATCCTGAATGTATCAGTGGGAGTTTAGCAGTACAATAATTTAGTCTTATCCTAAGTGTGAGTCTAAAGATAAGTTTTTCTGAGATTAACATAAGCATATACTTAAATAATTTACTGAGTTGGGACCCTAGTTCCCTTGGTTTGCATCTGACATAACTTCCTAGACTTATTTCCCTCAATCTAACTTGGACAAGAACATGGCACAAAGGGTAAGTTGAGTATAGTTTGGATGAAATTTTTGTTGTCTTGGGGTTTTTTTCCAGAATACTGGGTTCAAAGCCTCAGCTATCCTGAACACATTTTCTAAGAGATAAATCAATATAGGTAAAGTAATGAAATGACCATGCATAGTGAGAACAAGCTGACCTCTGATTAATGATATATTTAAAATCACAACATTTATTTCTTTATGCAATCAATATTATACAATGCTTGTTTTATGTTATCCTGCAAAAATTAATAATAGTAGCATGCTGTTGGATCTACTATTGCCCTAGTACCCAATGAAGCAAACCTTTTGGAAGGTAGACAACAGATAAAATTAATTTCCTATATTCAAATTCAATAAAACTTCTTGTTGAAGAAAATGGGAGTTTCTTGTTAGTTTTTCAATTTGAGGGACTTTTTTATGTTTTGAGGGGGAATTCTGATGTGGGTGGAGTGGAAAGAACATTACAGGGCTTTTTTATTTGGGGAGTCTACAAGAAAACAGGGATTTCTCAAATTCTTGCAAATTATCTATTCAGGCATCATAATGCTGTGCACAACAAACCAGGGTCATTGAAGATTAGAAAGGTTCTCAAAATGTTATGGGACAGATATCTTTATAACAATACAAAACTTGCTCTCAATGCATGATAACACAAGGGCATCATTGATATCTTTCTCTGTGGGAAATGACTGGATGGTAGGCCTTGAATTCGAGCAGTTGCAGCTCTGAAGTTGCAGAAGAATGTAAACAACTCTAAGGGAATATTTACTGCAATGCCGGACGGAACAGGCGTGGTGCAGCCGAGACCAAAGGTCACCAATCAAGATGTGTATAATGTCACCAATAACGGTGTGAACAGTGTCCTCAGGTCACCAATGACAATAAGCACAGTGTCTTCTGTGTCTCCAATAAAAGTTTGTACAGTGTCTTGTGCTGGGGACCTTTAACCAATTATGTTGTAGCACGATAGTATACAAAAGGTATAAAAAGAAACATTTGAGAGCAATAAAGTTGCCTTGTGCCTTTGCCTGCTATCGGAGTGAATTCTTGGCCGTCATCAATTGGTGAACCCCGACGCGATTTATTGCGCAGAAGATTTACTGCAAGGAAGATTCCTTGCATAAGGCCGCGGACCTTAGAGCGGTGATAGAGAAGATTTATTGCAGAAGATTTGCCACGGACCTTAGAGCGGTGACAGAGAAGATTTATTGCAGAAGATTTGCCGCAGACCTTAGAGTGGTAGCGAGGGGATTTATCGCCACGGACCTCAGAGCAGTAGCTGCGGACCTCAGAGCAGCGACGACGGAACCCCAACATAGCATTTGGCGGCAGACCTTAGAGCCGAGCGGCGGACCTTAGAGCCAAACTTACAGACACCTGGAAAGAAGGTGAGCCGTTGGGGAATAAATTATGGGCGCACAGATATCTGTAGAAGAAAAATCCATTTTAACAATACTAACAAAAATATTAGAAAAATGTGATGTTAAATATAAAGAATGTGCCCTTGCTTGTCTGGTGCAAGAATAATGGAGTTAATGCGGATGCTCAGACTGCATTCTGTATAGAAACATGGGACAATGCAGGCAAGGTACTTTTTGACGCAGCTACTAGGGGGGATATGGTAGCTACAAATTCCTTAACTACTTGGAGGTTTGTAATCGACTCCTTGAGGCAGCTCAAAGCAGATCGGAAAGCTGCTTCTGCAACGAGTAACGCTCTGCAACCTGAGGTATCTGGGACTGCATCCGGAACTGCTGCAGCGGGTCCCTCTCAAGCCCCCCCGTCTACAGAGCCCCAAGGGGAATTAACTGCGTCCCATCGTAATAGTGTTGGGAAGCCAGGGACCGGTCCTGCTATGGACTGTGCAAAGGTCCCGCTGCCCCCAGACACGGGAGAAGGGTGGGAGACACCTGCCCAGCTGTCATTACCTTTGAATTTGTGACAGTCGGAGTCTAACCCACGGGAGGTGAGAGAGGAGCCTATGTTAATAGATTTGTCGACTGATGAGAAAGCTGGAGGTCCGAGATCTTGTCCCCTGAGTTCTCGAGCGGAGCCTCCTGTGCCTCCTCTCCCCCCAGGACAGCATGTTTTGACCATGCAACCA